TAAATAAATAAGCCAATAAAAACTCAAAGGAGATGGAGACATGTTGTTGTAGCCTGGGACTCTTTACGGGAAGGACATCCCGAAAAAGGGAATTTCTTAAGCTGCAATCACAGATGATCCTGGGGGAGGGGGAGATGTTCGGTTTGGTTTAAGAAACTGGGTGCTGGGCTTATGCCAAGTAATAAGAACTCGGGGTGTTCAGAGCCGTGAGGGCAGACAGACGTGGGCATGATACTCAGAGCAAAGGGCCAGGGTAATTGATGAACAAAGAAACATTTGGATGCACAGAGCAGGGAGGGAGTATATGGTGATGCTGCCATGTGACCTTGAACCTGCCCTCTACATCTTCCTGTGCTCATCTGTGAAATGGAGACGGAAACATCTTCCTTTTAGGGTTCTGTGAGGACTTAATGGGGTGATGCAGTTAGATGTTAACTGAGCTCAATGATATTAATGAGACAGACAGAGAATTGAGCCAGGAGTGCTCTGTCCAGCCCAGGCCAGACAGAAGCTAGAAGGATGGATCCAGAACCCAGGGTGGTCATGAGAAAGGGGAATGGTTGGGACCTGCATCAGGAAGGCTGCTCCCAGGGACCCCTGGGAGACCCCAGCGAGGATAATCAATGAAAGCATGTTGGACTCACGTGGAACAAGAGAAAGGCAGAAGCCAGCTCTTGTGGGATGCCTTCTTCACGCCAGCACAGGGCCGAGGGCTTCACATGCATTCAGCTCTCCCAACAACCCCATAGGTAGGTACCATCATTCTCATTTTACAGATGAAGAAATTGAGGCTCACTATCTTGAACAAAGTCACACAGGGAAAAGTTATGAAGCCAGAAGGGAACCCCAGGCTGCCTGCTTTAGCCTCCTGCCCCCCCCCCACAGCTCCCCTCCCAGGTGGTCCTGTCTCCCCAGGGCAGGTGGGTGAGGCTCCCACAGACCAGCTTCCCACAGACCAGCTTGGGGGTGGGGACTGACTTGCCCTGCCTCACGGGCTGAACAGGGCTATATTGGACGGTTCAGCATTCATTCCGCAAACATTCACTGCTCACCTTAGTGTGTACAGGGACTTAGGCTCAGCACTGAAGACACAGAGGTGACCACGGGGAAGGTGCACCTGGAAATACGTAAAGTGCAGTCGTCAGGAGAAGTATCTGAGACTGGAGAGGAGAAGGGGGCTTCCTGGAGGAAGGGATGCCCAAGCTAAATCCTTCATAAACAGATATTTGCCAGGCAGAGGCTGGGAGAAGGGGAATGGCGTTCTAGCTTGTAGTCACACCCTGAGGAGAAAAGGGTCGGCGGTTTACGTGAAAAATGGGGAGGGGCTTGTGTGGATTGCCAGCAAGCCTGTGTGTCTGTGTTACGGTCACGAAGCTGCCATCTAGATCTGGAGCTTCTGGATTGGGGGAGGAGCCAGGGCAGGGGAATTGGCACCGAGAGGGCAGGGCAGCTAGAGGGAAAGCCACAGGGAGCTCCCCCCACCCCCGGCCAGAGCTTCAGAGCTGCCCCACAGCACCCCATCGTCCCCTGACCCCGGGGCCTGCCCCATCCTGGCCTCCCAGCCCAAGTGTGGGAAGCAGCAACACACCCATCTGGAATCCCCAGGCCAGCTGGGGAGTGGGGACTGTTGTCCCTATCTTACAGATGAGGAAAATGAGGTTCAGACTTGCCCAGGGTCACAGAGCCGGTCAGGATGGAGAGCAGGACCAGGGCTCCAAATCCAGTGCCCTTGATGCTTTCCAGGCCTTTCACATCAGGCTCTGGAGCATCTCTGGGGCAGGAGGGGAAGAAAGGCGGGGTGGCCCGGAGCTTTTCAGCCTGAGCAACTCTACATCTCTGGTCAGTATTTGCAGCTTCTGGGCAGCATTCATGGAGAGGCCTGCCCCAGCCCCCAGTCACTCCCTCTGTGCTCACAGCTTTATCCTGACAACTCACTGCATTTTCACACTGAGAAACAGGCAGTGTTGCTGAGCCCATTATACAGATAAGTGAGCTTAGAGAGAGGAAGTTACTTGCTCAGTCACAAACGAGCAAGTGGTGGAAACAGGCATTGAACCCGAGTCCATCTGATTCCAGTGCCACCCGCCTGTAGCTGGGGCTGCTTCTCAATGGCTGGTTCCACCGATCCTTCATGGTGGGAGGGATCGAAGGAGGGAGTGGGGGGCTCGCAGAGAGGAGGGCACCCCGCTGGCACCCCAGCCCCTCCCACGCATGCAGTTGGTAGCTCTCACCCTGGCACGGTAGACAAAGGCAGCCCCATAATTGGGAGCGAGTATTTCATGCATCCCCCCCCCCCGATGTTTTATTGGGTGGAGAGATGCTTGGAGACCAAACGAATGGCACATTCTGTTTATAAAGTGTGCAGTTTGTTTTATTTCCCGAGTTTTTGCAATCTAGATAACAGATGATGCCCCGAGTGGCTGGCGCTGCCTCTGTAATGGCGGCACCGAGGCTTTGGAGAAGTATTAATAATAGATTGTGTTGATGAGTTTGGAGAAAGTAGCAATCGACCCCCTGCTGCCAAGGCATTAGCGGGGCTGTTCTGAACGAAGCCTGCATGGTGGCAGCGCCTGCAAATGCGGGTCACACACCCCTACCCCCCCCCCCCCCGCTGCCCCCTCCCACTGACTAAGAGGGCCTCCTCTCTGGGAACCGCCCAAGGTGTGCCAACCCAGCCTGGGGCCCTGGCCCTGACATGGTGACACAGAGATGCAGCCATTGCCTGTCCACCCATGGGCCACAGAGGCCAGGCTGCAGCCCTTAGTGGGGCCGCCAGGTCAGGAGGCAGAGTGTGGGGAGAGGGACAAGGAGGCAGTGAGAGGGGCAAGGCAGAAGTGTTCTCCATGTCAGAGCAGCAGGTTCTGCAAACCTGGCTCCTTCCCTAGCCCCTTGGCAGAGTTGGAGGGCCAGCCAGATTCCTAAGGGCCTCTGCTTAGGGTACATGGACAGTTGAGTGGGTTGCACCCTGAACAAAGGTCTCCAGCCAAAGGGCCAAATTGGAGCTGCATCCATCTCATATACCGTTGTGAAGGCATGCACTGTGTGGGCCAGTGGGGTCCTGTCTGCCTGAGCCTCTGCACGCCCCCAAGCCTTCACTCATGGCCTTTTCAAACACTGAGGCCTCCTTGAGGATCAGATGGACCTCTGTAGAACTGGGAGCTGACAGGGCCATGTGCCATCACTCTGTGGTACTCATTCATTGAATTAAATGCTCAGTATCATTGAATCCTGACCACAGCCCTTTGAGGGAGGTCCTGTTGACATCCCCATTTTATAGTAGAGGGAACTGAGGCCTGAGATAAGCATAGAGGATGCCACCTCCCCCAGACTGGGGCATCAAAGAAGGCTTCCCAGAGGAGGTGGCATTGGAGTTGGGCATTGCAGGATGAGTAGGAGTCTGCTGGGTAGACTAGAAGTGGGTGGCAGGGGTTGCTGGGGTGTCCCCAGTTTGAGTGCCCTGGCCAGTGCCAGGGCAGCAGGCAGAGCTCGGAATGGCCCTGCCCACTGCGTCCCACCAGCTCGCCGTGGGCGGTGCTGATGGCAGCCTCGGGAAGGGAGGCAGGCCGAAAGCCTCGCATTTATGGCCATTTCTGTTCCAGAACCGATTAGTAGAGAATTGCAGCTGTAATCTGTGCCTGTGATGGCGGGCCATAAAGAGGGATGGGATGTGCACAGTGCTCCCCAGGTGGCGCCCGCAGACGTGGCCCGGGGACGTGGGGAATGAAAAATGGTTTTAATTCCCTCCCAGCAGCAATAATTTGATTCTTCATAAATTTTTCCATCAAAGTGTTGTTCCCACAGAGCAGGGCACGTGACAGGGATCGGGGGCCGGGAGGAGCGGTCAGTAGGTGCAGGCAGAGGCGGGGCCCTGCTGCTCAGACTCTTTCTGCACACTCGCCAGAGTCACGAAGACCCCTGCCCCCACCCCCAGCTTTGTCTCCGGAGATGGAAGATGGATCCTCCCTGTCACGGAGGGACTGGATCAGGCCCGGGAACAGAGCCGGCTCCATCATTTACTACCCACGTGACCCTGAGCACGTGACTCTGCCTCCCAGCACCTCAGTTTCCTTATCTCTAAAATGGGATTAATATTTCCTGCCTCATAGGGTTGTTGCAAGGATGAAACACATTTCTGCACGCAGAGCGCTTAGAAGAGCGGCTGGTACACCATACGTGCTCCGTGAATATCTGTTCACGGTGTAGATTCCTAAGCTAAGATGAGGGATAAGCAGGTGGTAGCCAAGGCAAGGCCCAGAACATGTTGAAGAGCCAAGGTGATGGTGCTCTGGAGAGACTGCAGGCTGTTCCATGGGGCCGAAGCCTCGGGGAGCAGAGGGGTCAGAGAAGAGGCAGGACTGTGAAGGGCCTGAGTGCCAGACTCAGGAACTTGAAGGTTCTCCAGAGGGCACTAGGGAGCCATGGAAGAGTCTGGAGCAGGGAAGCAGCACGATCAGATGTGTGTTTTAGACAGATCCCTCTGGCTGTCATCCTGGAGGGTGAGTTGAAGGGTTGGAGAGGCCAGGAACCCAGGGAGGGCACTGGGGCAGCCCTCAGGCAGGAGAGGAGGGACCCAGGCTGGGTGATGGGCTGGGCAAGGCTGGGGATTGCTTGGATGTGGGGGAGAGAGGCAGGGGCAGAGAGGAGGAGAGCCGGTGCTAGAGTAAGGGTAGATGGGACCTGTGGGCTGCCTGGCCTTCCCCTCAGGGCAGGGGCCCACCTGGCTCCCAGGGAAGGCGGAGCCTGAACCTGCACCCTGCCCTCTAGTGGCCACTGTGTCTCTGAGCGGGAATGACCCTAAGCTGATGCTCCCAGGAGAAGGCACCTCCGGGCAGGTTGCCCAGTGCCCACCGTGAGGCCGCCAGGGCCCTGTGAGCCAAGGGGGTAGGGCTCCCACTGTCTGGCTCTGTGCCCAGGGAGGGCCTCTCCCACTTGGGCTGGAGGGTCAGCGTGGCGGGAGGAAGAGGTGCTTTGTGGGCAGTGCCTCTGGGAGGGACCACTGAGCCCAGCCAATGCGCCCACTCTGCACCTGCAGGCTCTTCGCAGCCAAGTGCAGCGGCTGCATGGAGAAGATCGCCCCCACTGAGTTTGTGATGCGGGCGCTGGAGTGCGTGTACCACCTGGGCTGCTTCTGCTGCTGCGTGTGTGAGCGGCAGCTACGCAAGGGCGACGAGTTTGTGCTCAAGGAGGGCCAGCTACTGTGCAAAGGTGACTACGAGAAGGAGAAGGACCTGCTCAGCTCCGTGAGCCCCGACGAGTCCGACTCCGGTGAGCTGCGCCTGGAGCTGGGGCAGGTGGTGGGGAGAGCCGCCCCTGCAGAAGCCCGCTCGTGACCCCAAGACCTGCACTATATACAGACACTGCACCCACATCCGATACGCACGCGCACTGATGGGTTCAGTACACACGTGCACATGTGGGGTGCACACAGACACGTGTGCACAGCCTCACAGGCGCACGAATGTACCTGGACACTATCACACAGGTGTAGGTGCATGTGATCACAGATGCACACACACAAGCACATAAAATGCATGTGTGGATACCCATGTCCAGGAGTGTAAATACACAGACACATGTCCATGTGTAGACATGTGCTTACATGCCCAAGCATGCAGAAGCCCACACCCATGTAAACATGTGCACGCACGCCCCAGCACACTCACGCAGTCAACACCTATGCGTGTGGCTGCACACGTTCATCCACGTGCTTACATGTACTGTAGCTTGCACACACATGCTGCCACACCCCCTGCTCTCTGGCCCACCACCCTCCCCCTGCTCTTATCCTTGCTGTGGCCCCCCCACCCCGACAGCACAGCATCCCAGGGTCTCTCCCAGCACCGGGCCTGCAGGCTGCAGGTGTCTGATCTGATGCAGCCTTTCTGCATCGCCCCCCAGAGCCTTCAGCAGTGGGGAGCAGCAGCCCCAAGCTATTCCCTTTTTTCCCCGCTGCATGGGGAGACTGGGGCCCTCGGTGGTGGAGGGAGAGACTCCATTTCCCAGGGTGAAGCCTCCCCTCTACCCTGCTCCAGCCCCCAAAAGACTTTACCAGTTTGGAGCCCTCCTGGCAGGAAGGGCAGGGCCAGCTGGGAACAAGTCTTAAGGAGGGAAAAGTCAGGGAGCAGGCTGGCACCTTGTCATTCCTGGGGGTGGCAAAGATGGACTGGAGCAGGGGGCGTGGGGAGGAGGCGCCCTGATCTGCCGGGCCTTGTGGGGAACCTGGAGCCCATGGTCACAGGACCTGCCCACACGAAGGAGTGCTGTCCCTGCCAGAGCTTTTGGAGGAGGTGTGAGCTCCCACCACCTGTACCTCTGTCCATCCCTGGGCAGGGCACCACGGCGGCCAGGCTGCCTGGGCTCCTGTGGGAGAGCAGAGCCCAGCCAGGTGCCATTGGCACGTTCACACCAGGCCTAGGGAGGGGTTCTCGGAGGGAGGTCCCCTCCACAGGGGCTCATGCTCAGAGGAAGATGGTCTAGGAGAAGGGAGACCAGTTCAGACTCGGGGTCAGCAGGAGGCATGGGGGGTGGGAAGGATGCTCTGCTATCTGTCTGGGGCTGGCATCTCTGAGACCCACAACTCGGGCATGGAAGTGGGTGTGGGTGTGCCTCCGGGTGAATACACACGCTTCTGCATGCAGGTGTGTGTGTCTGTTCCGATGTGTACGTGTCTGTATGTCCCTGCCTGTGAGCATGCACCTCTATGTGTGTGTGTGTACGTGTGCACATGTCATGGTCACAAGTACTCCTGTGTGAGAACGTCTGGAGTGTGTGTCTTTGCCCATCAATTCTTAGTCCCTGGAAGCTCCAAGGAAGCAGGCTCCTGGTAGCCTCCTCTCTGGGCCGTGAAGCCCAGCTACTGCTGGGCTAGTGCCGTGGGAACTGGTTTTCCCAAAGGCTGACATGCTGGGCTGGGGTTTCCCGGGCACCGGAGGCCAGCAGGACAAGGTGGGTCCCAGGCAAGATGGGTCAGGGGAAGCCCAGGGCCAGAATGAACACAGATGCCAGCATCTCTCCTCAGGTGGGCCATGGGCCTGATGAGGACAGCAGATGGGCCACAAGTGAGCATCCTATGCTCCCTTCAGTGTGTCCAGCCACATGTGTACACCTGCATGCTTCTGCAGTGCCCATACCTGTCCCCACGTGGGCCTGTATCTCTACCATTCTGAACGTGTACGCATCTGAGTGTGCAATGCACGTGTGCTTGTGTGTCTCTGCTTGCTCACCAGGGTGCCTTCCTGTGTGTGTCTGCCTGTGTGTTGTCAGCAGAGCAGGTCTGGGGGCCTCGGTTCAGGTCTCCCTGGGGGTCCAAGATAAGAAAGTGAGGAGTGTGTGCTGAGGAAGGGGACACACAGGGCCTGGATGGGAGATGAGAGACTAGATAGGCAGGGCCTATGGGTCAGGGGAAGAGGGTGGTCTTTACCCCGAGGGCTCTGGGGAGTCGTGGCAGGTGTTAGCAGGAGGTGATGGGATCCCATCAGGTAGCAAGTTGCCTGAGGATACAAGGCTGACAGGCTGGGGTGTGTCCCCCACAGTGAAGAGCGAGGACGAAGATGGGGACATGAAGCCGGCCAAGGGACAGGGCAGCCAGAGTAAGGGCAGTGGGGACGACGGGAAGGACCCGCGGAGGCCCAAACGACCCCGGACCATCCTCACGACGCAGCAGCGAAGAGCCTTCAAGGCCTCCTTTGAGGTCTCCTCCAAGCCCTGCCGGAAGGTGAGGGGCGCCTGGGGTGGGGTGGAGGCTGACAGCCCCGAATGCGCTGCCTTTCCAGACACCACCCCTTCTGCTCCTGCTGGGGGTTGGGCGTCCCTCCCCCTCCCCGCCCATCCCCCCAAACCTGCTGCCTCCCAGCTGCTGCCCCACCCCCCCCCCAGGCCTGACCCGTCTCCTTCTCTATGGGCAGGTCCGAGAGACGCTGGCGGCAGAGACGGGCCTCAGTGTGCGTGTGGTCCAGGTCTGGTTTCAGAACCAAAGAGCAAAGGTGAGTACAGGCACCTGCCACCCCACTGGACAGGGGTGGGATGGGGAGGGGGTGCAGGCAGAAGACCAGGGGCCTGATGAGGGTGGCGTGGGAATGAAGGGGGGCTGGAGGCGGAGACTGGCACACACTGTGTCTCCTGCAGATGAAGAAGCTGGCACGGCGGCACCAGCAGCAACAGGAGCAGCAGAACTCCCAGCGGCTGGGCCAAGGTGAGCAGGGCGGCCCGGGGTGGGGCTCAGTCTCTGTAACTAGACTCCCAAGAAACCTCCCGCCAAGGTGATCAGAGCTCAGGGAGCTGCTGCCTTGGAACCTGCTGAGATCAGTAAAGGAGACAGACAGTGGGGGCCGTGGGACACAGGAGGAGAGATGGCAGGGTGGGCGGCCCAGAGGGGTGGCAGAATTTCCATATTCAAAACAGCGACGCGGTGTGCCAGGCACTGTTCTCACCGTTCCACACGCTCCGTCTCACTTAATTCTCACAGATCCCTGAGAGGAAGGGCATCGTTACATCCCATCTCACAGATGAGGAGACTGAGGCTCAGGGAGACTAAGGGACTTGTCGGGATCACTCAGCTAGTAAGGGGCACAGCCAGGCTTCAGTCCGGAGTGTAGGGCTTCTGAGCCTGTGCTCTTAACATGACCACACACCCTACCGCCCACAGTAGAGTTCAGCATTAGTCTCCAGAGAAAGTCTCCAGAGAAAGTCTGAAGGTGTTGAGGAGTCCAGCGTGGACTGGGCTTTGCCCAGATGCTGTTTCCACAACTTGGGCTGGGGCTGGCCTCCCCGGCCCCATGGGGACATGGAGCCTTCTAGGTCTTGAAGGGAGGGCACTGGGAGCTCCCTGAGCCTGCCAAACTGGGGAAGGGGCCTCAGCTGCCTGCTCCCAGGTGAGCCGGTGTCTCTGAGGCAGATGCCAAGGGATTGATGGGCAGCCCCTCTACTCAGAACTCTGGGGCCAGACCAGTGTCCCAGGCTGGACCTTGGGCTTCAAGGCCATGGCCTCAGAGCCCAGCTCTTCCTGTCTTCTCTCTCTGCCCCCCTCTCCCGAGATGGCCCAGCCTTCTGGGGCTGCAGCCACGGCTTCAGGTCTCCCAGCCTGCTCCCAAGCTGTGTCTCACTCTCCGGTGTTCCCAGCTGCCCCCTGGATGCAGCCTCCCCAGGAATGTTCCACGGTCCCCTCGAGCTCATCACAGCCCATACTGCACTTCATTACCACTGCCCCTGCTGCCACATGCACAAAACACCCCCTACAGCTCCCCTACCCCGTCTCAGCAAATGGCACTACCACCCACCCAGTACCCACACCAGGAACCCAGGAGTCACCTCCCCCGTCCTGTCCTACACGTACTGCATCTGCTCAGTCACCAAATCAGGCAGTGGTTTCTTGTCCCATGTCCCTCATGCCCCTCTTAGTCTTTCCCACATCTGCATTAATACAGACCCCAACCCCTCCCAATGGTCTCCTCCTCTGGCCTCCACCCTCCCAGCCTTTCTCCACAGTCGCTCCACAGCTAAGACCCTCCACTGGCTTCCTACAGCCTCAGGGGAGCCCCCACTCAGCTCGGGTCCCCAAGGAACCATCTCTCTCCCCAGGCACAACCTTCTCTTGTCCTCACACTCCATCCCCATGGACTGGGCTCCTTGCTCCCACAGGGCAGTTTCTCTCTTCTCTGCCTTTGCTGCCCTTCAGCCTGGCATGCCTGCCCCCTGCTCGGCTGGTTGAACCTCTGCTGGTTGTTTAAGTCGCATGGAGGTGGTGGGCCCCTTCCTCCAGGAAGCCTTCCTTCCCTGAGCCTTGTTGGCCGGGGTGCGGGCTCCACCTTGATGCTCCCAGATGCAGGGCACTCACTGCACCCATATGTTGTCGAATCAGTACTGGCTGCTCACTGGAAGCCTCTGTCTTCCCCAGGCTGGGAGCTCCTGGAGAGCAGGGCTGTAGGAGGAAGGGAGGAGGTGGGGAGGGAGGGCTGTTTCTGGAAGAGACGCTGGACTGTGTGTCTGGGGAAGGTTGGTGGGCTGGGGGGTCAGATATGTAGGCTCAGTGACCCTAGAAGGCCACAGGCAACCTCAGCAGGGGCAGGGCTGGGAAGGAGGAGGTCAGAGAGACCGCAGTGGGCAGCCTGGACTCGGGGGTCGTGAGGGAGGTCATGGGACTCCTGGGGTACATCTGTGAGGTCTCCAGGACAGGGCAGGCAGGGCCAGTCAGTGAGGGCGTGCTCTGTCCCCAGAGGTCCTGTCGAGTCGCATGGAGGGCATGATGGCCTCCTACACGCCGCTGGCCCCGCCGCAGCAGCAGATCGTGGCCATGGAGCAGAGCCCCTACGGCAGCAGCGACCCCTTCCAGCAGGGCCTCACGCCGCCCCAAATGCCAGGTGACCACATGAACCCCTATGGTAAGCTGCCCGACCCCCTGCTGCCCCAGCACGGCCCCTGCCCCCTGCCTGACCTGGCAGGCCTGGGGCCGAAAAAGCCACCTCCCGCCCCAGGGCGCCCCCCGCCACCGGCAGCCCCTTCCGACACAGCCCACCTGCCTCCTCCTGACCAGAAAGGGGCACCCTGGAGACCTCACCCACAGCCCCCAACCCCTCTGGTCGGGCACCGTTGGCAGGTCATCCCGTCCGTCCCTCACCTCCAGCCACACTGCCTGTATGGCCAACAGGGCCCCCAGGAGCCCCAGCCTGTACCCCGGTGCTGACACCGCCTCTGCCCCCCAGGGAACGACTCCATCTTCCACGACATCGACAGTGATACCTCCTTAACCAGCCTCAGCGACTGCTTCCTCGGCTCCTCGGATGTGGGCTCCCTGCAGGCCCGCGTGGGGAATCCCATCGACAGGCTCTACTCCATGCAGAGTTCCTACTTCGCCTCCTGAGAGCCAGCCGGGCCACACGGACGCTTGGGCAAGGGCCCTGGGGTGGGACTGCAGGCCGCAGAGGCTGCCCCGCCACCCGCAGAGACTCTACAGACAGCCATACGGTGCCCTCCCCTCGGCCAACTGGGCCTGGCTAAAGTGCCCACTGGGCACAGCCAGACAGGCAGACGGGCACAGCCTGGGCAGGGGCTGTGTCCTGCCCACAGAAACTGTCACCCCCAGGGACCCAGAGCTCTCGGACAGCCACTCATCTCCCAGCCCCACCTCGGCCTCCATCGCCTCCTTCCCCCTCCCCATCTCTTTTATGGGAAGCTTAAATTCTCTCTATTTTTTTAAATGTCCTCTCTCTGTCCAGGCCACCTCCATGGCATGGGCCTAGATCGAGGCAGGGCCCCCGTGCATGCCCCCAGACGATGGTGGGTGTGAGACGCGTGTGTACCTGTGCCCTGCACTGTGCCCACCTCCCCCGCCTCTGAGGGCAGGCCCGCCAACCTAGGATCACCCCTTCCAGCTGGAGCCTGGAGCAGGAGTAGGGAAGAGCCTGGCAGGTGGGCCAAGCCCACCACAGCTCTGCCCTGAGGGGCAATCCTGGCGGGACCAGGGACGGGTAGGTTGAGCCCAGGCTGACTCAAAGGGATGGAGACATACATGCAAACGCACACACTTAAAGGCACACCCATGCGGAAATGCACACAGATACATAGACGTGCTGAAAGAGACAGGCCTCTGCGGGTCAGCCCTGCCCTGCCCCGTCAGGAAGCGGGAAGCGGCCAGACAGGGGCAGGGAGCCCCTCTGATAGCAATAGGAGGGGAGGGAGGAAGTGAGGAGGATAAGGTGAGCTTGAAGCACGTGGACACAGATGTGTCTTAGCTTCTGTCCAGACGGGGGCTGCCTGGGCAGAGACAGAGGCCGCAGAACCAGGTAGAATCAGACCAAATGGCAGAACCTCCAGGCGGAAAAGCATCTCAAAAGTCACCCACTTGGCACTCCATAGGATGTTTGGTTCCTGCCCAAGCCACTTCTGCCTCTCCTCGCAACCTCCAGTGACTTCATCGGGCCCCAAGTCAGCTGCCTTTTCTGCTGATTTCACCTCTGCTCTATTCAGCCCTGAGTCCTCGCTTCTCAAAGCCAGGCTTTTCCAGCTTCTCCAGCTCTTCCTTTTAAACTGTACTGCCCAGCCTGGCTCCAGCTTTCCCTCTGAAGGTATGGAACAGATATAACCCAGTCTTCCCACTGTCATCAGCCAGCCAAAGTGAGCAGGTCAATCACCTCCCCCACTTTAGGCACCCTGCCTCTGTTAATGTGGCCTGAGACCCAGTGAATGGTTTAGGGCACATAACCTTGGAAACTCACCCTGCCCTTTTGTATGTAACCAGAGCCCCTGACCCTGACACATGTGTGACAGCTAAGCCACAACCCTCTTCTCTGTGTGTGTGGAGGGGGCACTTATCAGTCCCTGGAGAGCCAGTGAAGGACCTTGACTTTTCTCTTGTACGTTTCCTCTTATTTGATTCATTCCAGCCTGTGGAGTTTTTCTGCACCCCAACTCTGTGACCACTGGTTTGTTCTCCCTCCTCAGCACATCTGCCGATATAAGGAGTCGGCCCTGTGTGTCTCACCTAAGGCATGTGGACCATTTTGTCAAACGCCCTGCTAGGAGCCAGATATACTGTATCAACCTCTGCCCCCAATCTACCCAACTACTAACCCTGTCAAGAGAGGAAGTGAGGCCAGGCTGATGGGCCCTGTTCTCAGTGACCCCTTGCTGGCCCCTGGAGGCCACTGTGTCCTCAGCCAGTGCTCATGGCTCTGCTTTCCATTCTAACACTGAGCCCTAGGCTGCAGAAGTTTGCCTGGTCCAGCCTTTGAGCTGATGGGATGACAGGTGTCTCTCCACCCATCTGGAGAAGGGCCCCTCTGTCTGGCCCTTCCTGGGATCCTCAAAGTTCACCAACATCCTCTGTGGTTTTGCTTCTCTGTCCTCTGGGGAGACCTCAGTCCCTCCAGAGCATCCTAGGCCAACCTCCCCGCCCCTCCTGGGCTTCTGCACACACGTCTTGCCACACTCTTCACCATGGCAGAGTTGGCAGAGCTGAAATGCAGCTCAGAGTCAGCCCTCAGGCCCCAGCAGCCAGCCTGGCCCTTCTGGGCTCTTCTTGTTCTACACAGAACTTGCACACGGTCTTAGTTGATGTCCTGAGTCCTTCTGCAGTCTCAGCCCACCTAGGTTCTGTGCCATCTCTTGGTCCTGGGTCACCACTTGTCCCTTAGGCAGCCACTCTGGTTTCTTGAGAGATGGTCCCCTTTCTCCTCTTATGCCCACACAGTCAAATCATGCCAGGGGCACTGGGGCAGGTCCAGGGATAGATGTTCTCCCCCACCAGTAGGCCTGGCCCTTCTCTCCCAGACTCTTTAAGTTGGAAGGAACCTCAGGAATGGGTCAACTAGTCCACCCCTTATTCTGCAGCTGGAAAATGTGGGCCAGGAGAGGGGCAGGGACAAGGCCTCTATCAACTAGTCAGGGACAGAGCTGGAGCAGAGAATAGGGACACCATGCCAGCTTCTCATCCTCTGTGTCTAGTGAACGACCTCCAGGTCGGAGCATGACTTGTCTTGGTAAAATTGCCATCCTGGGGCCTCATAAACCCCAACTCCAGCCTGGGCTCTGCCTCTACCATTACACTGCTCCCTGCCAGGAGCTGGTATAGGACACCCATGCTAATGACCCACAGATTGTCAAAGCAAGAGGGACCTCAGCCCCTCGTGCCAAAGATGCCCCATCAGCTAGTTTAGGTAGCACCTTCGCTGTACTGCAGCTCGCTGCCCCCGGGCCCTGACGCCCAATCTGCCCAGCCCTGGACTAGATGTGGGGATACAGATGCACAAGATGTAGGCCCCCCCGCCTTGAGGGGCTCTCTCCTAGGAGGAGAGGCATACACATTCCACCCCAAGCCTGTCTGGACATTGTTGGGGACCCATTTCTCAGATGAGGAACCTGAGGCTCAGAGAAGGTCACCCAGCAGAAGCACACAGAACCAAGCAGGCTTGCTGGGGTCTGGGGCTAGCTGAGATGGCCAGGCTCTTCCCACTTCGCATAGGAAGTGCAGCCTTGACCTCAGGTGGAGGGCGTGCGTAGCCAGGACCACTCCCGCCCCTGCCGTGATATGGGATCACCATCACATGGTGCCTGGGTGGGAAGCCCAAGGGAAGGGGGAGGTAGCAGTCTGGTCTCTGGAGGAAGAGGGAGAAAGTAAGAGGTGGGGAGGGGGAGTGCTGGAGAAAAGGCGAGTCCTGTTTCCTTTTGGGGAAGTTGAGGCTCAGAGAGAGGAAGGAATATGCCCCAGGTAACACAGCGAGTGTTACCACCTACCCCGTGGAGCCTTCCAGGGAGGCCACACAGAGGGACGCTGTGGTTCTAAGAGTCAGACCGCGGGCTCAGCAGAGCCCATAGAGAAGGGGCCAGTGCCAGTGGGCTGGGCATCTTGGGAGGCTTCCTGGAGAGGATGAGGTAGGGCCGTAGCAGTGAGGCTTGGGGGAAGGAGAAGTGGCTGACCCCTGCCTGGGCCCAGCCTGAGCTCTGGGCACCACCTGGGGTGAGAATCTCATCTCCCATGTGGGAGAACCTGCAGCTCTGGGCTCACTCTGCCCCACGGGGAAGGGGGTCCACGCTCACAGGCACGCACACAGACACACTCACACCCAGACACACGTGAAGGCTCACGGACCCACACTTGTAGACATGCCGCCTGGGGGCCAGGGGAGCAGGAGGGACCCTCCAACGTTTGGCCCTTGGACGGTGCCATTTCCAATGGGCGTCTCTGCTGTGCCCCCGCCCCCTCCAGGGTCCCGGGGGAGCTCAGCCCAGCCAGGTGTGGGGACCGGGCCACCAGCCACTGCTGTTCTCCTTGTACAGACTCTCACTGTCCACCCGCCATCCCCAGACACATTTTATTTAATAACTTGTCATTGTTAAATTATTTATTAGCGTTTACATCACCACCCCACCCTGCCCTCCACTCTCACCTTCTGCCTCTTCCCACAAAAGCAGAAAATGGAAACAAAAAAAAGATGAGACATCAGTATATTTGTAAATAAACCAAACTGTACACGCCTGTGGTGCCTCTCCTTGGGGGGAGGCTGTGCGGGGCCTGAGCCAGTCCTGCATGAGATGTCAGCAGATTTCTCAATGGGCACCAGGGACAGCAGGTCAGGAAGGGAGAGCCTGGGGTCCCTGGTCTAGCCGAACACATTCCCTTGTCCCATCCCATAACTGTCATCTCCCCAACCTTGTCCTATCCCAACCCCGACCCATCTCCATCCTTGAAACAAATGCATCCCTCCCATCCCATTCCATCCCTTTCCCCAACACAATCATTCATTCACCCAACCAATATGAAGGGCCCCTTAAGTGCCAGCCACTAGGCTGAGAACTGGGGCTTGGTCCCTGCCTCAGGGAGGTAGACAGTGTGATGTGAACTCAGTTGAGGTACAGTGCAGCCTTGTTATAGGAGTACCCAACCTCATCTGGAGGGGCGGAGCATCATGGAAGGCTTCCTGGAAGCAGCTACATATTAAGCTGAGATGGGAAGTTAGCCCGCATGGGGGCACTGAATGGGGAGGAGTGTCTGCGAGCGCTCCAGGCTTGTGCAAAAACTCAGGGGCTGGCAAAATCTTGTGAGTCTCTTGAACTGCAAGAATAGCTAAGTTAGGGGCTGGGGGAGAAGCAGTGAGGCTGGAGGCAAGACCAGACCATCCAGGGTCCTGATGCTGAGTGGAGAATAGATCCAATTAGGTCAGATGGACTGGAGACTGGGGTCAACTCGGTCACCTAGGTGACAGATGACTATGGCTTTGACTAGGGTGGTAAAATTGGGGAGAAAGAAGGGGGCAGATCCCGGAGATACTGGCGAGAGGTGAGTCAGGGCACCTGGATCACTGTGATGGGGTCGCTGGAGCACTCTGATCTGGGGCACGTGGAGCTGAGGGTCTCTGGGGCACCCAAGAGGTGTCCTGGACAGGGCTGAGCCTCAGAAGGACCAGATCTGAGTATCCAGGTGTTCAACAACCAGGTGGATGGTCACTGAGGCACATGGTGGGCGAGCTCACCCAGGGGAATGTGACAGGGAGAATGAAGCTGAGGTCAAATCCTGAGGAATCCTGAGGACTCGGGGCTGGACATGGCCCTGGGATCCAGGGGAGATGGGGGTGGGGGTGGGGCGGGGGGGTGGAGATGGCAGAGACTCAAGGAATGTGGTTCTCAAAGTATGTTCCTTGAGGTCTCA